TCAATCCCCGCCCTGTGCCCCGAAGACCCTCCCCCCGCCCCGCCCCGCGGGTCCGCCCCCAAAGACGCCGCGCCGGGGTAGGTGCGTGCTCCAGTCCAAAAAATCAAGAGCGGGGAAGAGACGCCGCGCTGACCCACGCGGGGCACCTCATTCCCACCTCGGCGCCCACGCTTTTTCTCCCTTGCTCGCTCCCGCCAAGATTTTGTTTGCCTCCACCCGTCGGCCAGGGAAGGGGGCTGATCTGGGGTGATCTTTAACGTTGTTTTGGATAATAGGGGAATCATCGGAGGCGTCATGCCCTTGGGTCCACGTGTCCGTAGGAGCTGCCAGGTGGTAGATGGTCTGGGCGAAGGTTCTGCCGGAGGCAAACTCCTAAGGCATAGTCTAGCATAGGCCGAAGTAAAGGGATAGGGAAGGGTCAGAAGCATCTTTTAGGCCTGTCTGATGAGAAGGAAGACTTCTGCCAAGGCTGGTAGAAAAAAGAACATGTTAGGAGAAAGAGGTCATCAGTTGTTAGCAATGACATGAGTACTTATTATCTAGAGAGCTCGGGAAGCAGGGCTGCCAAAACCAACATCCTCGCTCTGGGGGAATTTGTAATGAAGTTAAGAACACAGGACAAATAGGTGTTTCAAAATTATTATAAAGTATACTATACGAGTTTACAATCCAATTTTCGTTTATTATATAATTTTTCTTAGTGTAAATTCATAGGAGGAAAAGGAAGAGGAAATACAAACATGCTAATTTAATTATTATACATACAGAAGGGTTTGTTAGTTAAATGTATGGTTTTATATGTAATCAAGGACTTCCCTGGTAGCGCAGTGGTTAAGAATACGCCTGCCAATGCAGGGGACACCGGTTCCATCCCTGGTCCAGGAAGATCCCACATGCCGTGGGGCAACTAAGCCCATGCCCCACAACTACTGAGCCTGCGCTCTAGAGCCCGTGAACCACAACTACTGAGCCCACGTGCCACGGTTACTGAAGGCTGTGCGCCTAGAGCCAGTGCTCCACGACAAGAGAAGCCACGGCAATGAGAAGCCTATGCACCGCAACGAAGAGTAGCCCCAGCTCGCCGCAACTAGAGAAAGCCCATGTGCAGCAACGAAGACCCAATGCAGCCAAAAATAAATAAATAAGCAATAAATTTCTAAAAAAAAATTAAACTATGTTAAAAAATAAATGTAATCAAGAACAAATTTAGAAAACAATATAACCCCTCAAATATTCAGAACATTTTATGTTTATATATATATATATATATATAAATATATATATATATATATAGAGAGAGAGAGAGAGAGAGGGAGTGAAACAAATGCAAACACGTTGTGAAATACTTATTAAATTCTATAGACAGAAAAAATAACAGTAAATAGGAACTGAGAGTATATATATACACATCTGTCATGCCTATAAATGTGAGTGAGATAAAATTCACCTATTTTAAGACTTTCAGATTTGTTCACTTAGTGGTACCCAGTCAAAAACAGTAAACAAGAGGGGCCCTGCCTGATGGTCCAGTGGCTCAGACTCCACGCTCCCAATGCAGGGGGCTCACGCTTGATCCCTGGTCAGGGCAGTGGATCCCGCACACCGCAACAAAGATCCCCAAGGGGCAACGAAGATCCCCGCGTGCAGCAACTAAGACCCGACACAGCCAAATAAATAAATATTTTTTAAAAAAGCGATAAACAAGAGACATAACTACAACAAAGTGACATAGAAAGGATGCAATTTAAAATATCAGTAAAAGGGAGAAAATGGGGGTTCTTAATTTAAGATTATGTTGCTTTCAGGACAAAGACATTACCTCATTTAATGAAAATGAGCCTTCAGATACCACAGATGAGAGGAGTTTTTTTTTTAAGGAAAAAAGTCATAGGGGCAAAATTTTTCTTTAGGAATAATGTTATTCTTTACTCCTGTTATATTAAGCTTACTCAGTCATTGTACAGACTTTAGACATCTCTTACATGATATTTAAATAAAAGGCTCTATATTTTGGACACACACACAGAAGGAAATGAGCCTTCATAATGAAAAATGGTCCTTCATAATGAAAAATGGTCCTTCATAATGAAAAATGGTCCTTCATAATGAAAGATGGTATGCCAACATGAAGATGTAATATATATGAACACTACATGGCTCAGCATTCATAAAATAAAATGGCAGGAAATAGAATGAGAAGTTAACTAATGTACCTTTGTTAAAATGCACAGTAATAGGTAAAGAATAGTAAACTTAGTCATTTGAACTTATATAACTATTGAATTCTGTGCCTAAATACAGACAATGGTCCTTTTGCAGTTTTCATAGAACATTCACAAAATAACTGTGTATCAGGACATATGTTAGGACAGGGCCACACGCTATGGCCTATGTGCCAAATCTGCTCTGCTGCTTGATTTTGTAAATAAGGTTTTATTGGAACACAGGGATGCTCACTCTTTCATGTCTGTGGCTGGCTTTGTGCTCCAGGTGCAAAGCTGAATAGCTGAGAGGGATATTGCATGGGTCACAAACTCAAAAACTTTTGCAGTCTTGCCCATTATACAAAAAGTTTGCTGATCCCTAAATTAGTTTGTAAACACTAATAATTCCAAAGTATAAAAGAGTATTAATATATATGTATCAATATATAGATAGATATTGATATGTATATGTGGTCACAATGTTTTAAAAATAGGAATGAAAGAAAATATTGGAAAATAAACACCACAACAAAAATCCTTACTGTCTGGAAGCTAATTTTATGAACTCAAACTGTTATGAAAATACGCACACCTTGAATAAATGAGTAAATAAAAATCAGATTAAAATATCTAAAGTAATAATGAAAAACCATAGATCAGAGTGTATATGATATAGTTCAAGTAGTGCTCAGAGGAAAATGTTATAGTAAGTAATTATACTAATAAATAAGTGAGAATGAAAATAAATGAATAAAAGATCAAATTTAAAAATTTAAAACAATAACAATAAAATAAAATTGTAGGATGGGAAGTAGAAAGATTGAATTAGGAAAAGAATAACAGAATCAATAGATAAACGCAGGAGGCGGCTTTTTGAAAAAAATGAATATATATTAGGTAACCTAACCAATTAAAACATTATTATCAAATATACTATAAATGACTATAATTGATAAGTTATGTCATTATAAATGTACCATAAGTTCATTGTAAAAGAAATATGGAGAATACAAACACATAATAGAAAAAAGTTAAAATCACCCATAATCAAACTACCCAGCAATCAACTGTATTTATTACCTTTTTGGTATATTTTACCTGTATTTCATTTTTCTGCATTTATATTTATATATTTCACAAAATTTTGATCATGCTGTTTAACCAGCTTCTCAACCTGCTTTTTCTTTAACCTCATGTTATATAAAAAACATTTTCATTAAATGTTCTTAGAAAATATAGTTTTT